AGCATACATCTCACACACCAATTTAAGAGTCTGGACACCCAAATTCTCACATAGTCTATGCAACCTTCGAAAATCACATGATAATGGGATGTGCTTTCAAGAATAATTGCTGTTGGGTGTCAGTGAATGCTGGTGTGTCATCCAAATGTTGTGGTGTCACCTTTGAAACATGTCTCATAGGTTTGCCACCACTGGTCTATACCATTCAGATTAATCTCCCAAGCATCTGAATCTTTTAAATACTACAAGAACAAAAGTAGTGTTTCTTTTAAAGCTGAACTAAAGAACCAGTCATATTAATACACTTCTTTAGCATGAGCATTTTTAATATATATATAAAGGTTTAGGTTACATCATGTAACCTACATGTCTGTATTCACTGACTAGAGAGTAAATTAGAGTAAATCTAAGCCACTGAGACATATGAGAAAGCAAATAGATGGCGCACCAGTTGGCTTGGGACCGAGATACCTGAATGATTTAAATCAAACTGGTTATGTACTGAAATATATTTAGAGGGTTTCCTCCAAGTAACCCCTTTATTACAGATTACCTTGTCAACAGCAGAACCTTACCTGTACAATTTCTTCCCTGAAGATGTGAACATTGCTAGCGGTTAACTTTTTAGTGCCAGGCATTTAGCTATTTCTCCTAATGTTTTTAATATGTATTTTTTATATTGTATATAAGTTTCTACCTCCTCTGGAAGTTTTATTGAAAGGTGGAATATATTTTTCAAGTAAACATGCTTTAAATTATATTGACCTTGCAACTCAGTTTAAAAAGGGGGTCTTTCCAGATTTTATAAATGAATAGACTTACAATATGCTGTTTAGATTTATCACTATGACTTTTCTTTTTTCAGAATGTCAGTTTTAGAACATCAAAACAAGCTTAATTTTAATATATTGTAACTTAGAAACGTTCATAATTTCTCTGAATACAACTGAATATTTTCATGTATTTATATGTGCCATCTGATTTGAATTCATCTTATCTAGGTCTCTCTAAAGGTTTTAACCAATGGAATCCTCTTTTAAATGGCAAAGGACCTCATGTCATTCCAAATACCAATGTTGACTTAACTCCAGGAGCAAGTCAGTGAAAATAAACATGAATTGTCCCTGACTAAATGCTGCTTGTTTTATGATAGCTCCATTGAAAAGAGTGTATTTTGGAACAGTGGTCGCCAACCAGTGGGCCGGGGACCACTGGTGGTCCGCAAGAAAATTTTGGTGGTCTGCAGAGAAATGTCCCCCCCCCCCCCCAAAGCAGTCCTCCCAAAGCAATTAATCCAGGCTGCATGGGAACACAAGGCTACGCTACCCACATGGCCCGCCCACCCGCTGGCCCCACCCTTTGGCCGAGCACAAACCTTACCTTGAGTAGAGCCACATGAGCTGGAACTGGAAGTAAGACCAATGGCGGGGAAGGGAAATCTGTCCCGGGGTGGCTTGCTGACGTTGGTGGGAAAGTCAGTTCCATATTCCAGAACTGCAGTAGTCACAGGACTGGCCCTTTGGTCATCCCGGAGCAGCTCCTCCAGTCCATGTCAGGCCGGTGCACCCGTGTGGAGGAGCAGCTGCTCCCAGATGACCAAAGGGCCAGTCCTGTAACTACTGCAGCTCTGGAATATGGAACCGACTTTCCCACCAACGTCAGCAAGCCACCGTCAGTCAAAATTCGTATTAGTGGTATGCGGGATTTAAAATAATGAGTTTGGTGTCCCTGATGTCCAAAAGATTGGCGACCCACTTTAGAACATTTGAACAAAGATGGTTCTCATTTAACAAGACTCATTCAGTAGCCATTCAAAATTACAACACTGCTGAATAGGAGTTACAACTGGTCCTTAGAAGTTCCAGATATCGCAGTACCACCACAGTCACATGATTGTGACTTGGGCACTTGATAACTGGCACAGATTTCATCCATCACAGCACACCATATTTGTGTGATAATAATTTGTGATCTTTCCTGCTGGCTTACCACAAGCAAAGTCAAGGGAGAAGCCGGCAGTAAGTCAGAAGTTCCAAATATATGAAATCCTCAGTTAATGACAGTAATTGGGCACAGTGGAATGTCATTGCTAAGCAGCCTGATCATATAATGTTGCACTTTATGATCACATTGCTTGGTGATGGAAATTCCAGGCCCAATTGATATCAGTAAGCAAGGACTGCTTGTACTGAGTTGATTTCTAATGTTAACAAAAGAAAGGATCCAAGTGAACATGGGTTATTAAAATTTCTTGTCATAGAGATGCTTCAGACATGATATTCCTACCATTACATGGATTTTTAAAAGCTGAGTCTGACAGTGTTACTATCCTTGCAAATAAAATACTGTCTGGATTTCTAAACCCCAAAAACTTTAACCATAGACTGTCTACTATTGACCTCACCCCTTTCTTAAGAGGTCTGTAGGGGGCGTGCATAAGCGCACAAACGTGCCTACCATCCCTGTCCTATTGATTCTTTTTATTTTTCTTATATGTATTCATTTCATGTATTCATAATTATGCTTATACTTATACCCATTATCTTGCAAGCGATTGACAGACGAACGGACGAACGGGCTGGTACTGTAGTTCCCAGGAGTTAAACTGAGAGTGGGATGTCATGAGAAACTAGAGATAACCTTTTGGCTTACCCTTTAGTTCAAAGTTAGAAGTTGCTTCTGCAGGAGTACAATAGTTATTATCTTCATTTACTCATCTGAAACATAAATTGTCATCTGGCAATGGATACTTTTGGTCCACTAAGTGATGGGACTAGGAAAGTAGTTTATTTGCATATATATTTAATCCTAGTAGGCTAAAGTTTTTGCCTTCCCCAAATTAGGATGTCCAGTCCTCCTTTTGAATTTAAATGTACTGCTTATTTATGCCACCCATCTTGCTATTATACAGTTCCTAGCGGTTTACAATATGGCTTACTATTACTTCTACAAGTCATGTTTAGTGGCACTGTATAGGGTAAATTGAGTTGCTACTACTATAGCTTAATGAATCGAAGTGAAACTGAGAGAGATAACATGTCTGCTATGGGTAACAAATATGGCCATTTGCCACTGTACATCATGATGGACCCTTGAGTTCTTTTTGCATTACTTCAGCAACCGGAAGACAAGTATGGCCATTAATTAGATTTTCCAATATCTGGATCCTTGCTGTGCCATAACTAATGGAAACTAAAACCAAGAGAAACTGTTTCTATATTTAATGCACTCTGAATATGTAATTATCCATTTTCTCAGACACTCCATATTGCTAGTACCTCAGCTATGCAGTGCATACATATAATTTGGTTTTTCATACTACAATGTTGGATCCAGAAATATTCAGCATCATTTTTGTTGGAAGCAAGCTAAAATCAAATATTGGCATGAGGTTTATTTCTGCTTACATTTAGAATCCATGTTTGTCACCAAGAATCAAAAGAATACCTGGTATCCATCTAGCATAGCACAGAGATATAGAATACCAGCTGGAGCATGGTATAGTGACTATTTCAATTATTACTTAGGTGCATAATTTGGCAATTTTGAATTTGGCTAAGTGGCTCTCAGCTGATCAGGAAAGTGAGATAGAGGACTATCTTCAAAACAAAGTACTTCTGCAGCAGTATTTTCATGTTTTTCCCCTTTCACCAGTACAGGGGTTATTTTGAAAATGAAAGGACTTAACATAGGATTAACCTTACTTAACCCAGATATAAGGCTTTGATTTTGATCAGGCCATTTCTGGCTTCCCACTTCCATAAAGTAGAAATAACAAAATAACCCCAAAACAACCGAAAGCAGACCTAGCTTTGGCAAAAAAAGAGCCAAGATCATGTCAGAGGTTGGTAAGTTAGTTCCCCATTGTGATTAACAGTAAGCATACCTAGCATGTCATGTGAATGCAATTGCTACATTTGGTTTCCCCCTTTTTGAAAGGCTAGAATTTAGATAAAAGCTAGTTTTGAAAATCAATTGATCTCTCTGAGGGAGATGGGTGGTTCAGAAATGTGAAAAATTCAATAAAAATAAAATAAAGAATTTTCAAGATAACAGTTATCCTTTGGAGTGCAATTCAAGTGAACAACTTTGAATACTTTTACTGATTTCTTAATGTATTTTTATTATAACAATATTTTGAACAGTATTTTAACAGAAAAGTAGAACACAAGCAAAACTGGAAAAATATGTTTAAAACTGGCAACCAGTTATGTTGTTACTTTAATACAATCTGTACTCCAAATCAGCTATCTTTCTGAGCTCTTGTTATCACAGCTTTGGTGATACATCATATTTAGGTTTCAGATTCTGAGAGTTTTACCATGACTGAGAGACATCTTCTATTTCTCAGTCCTACCGCACGAACACTGCTGCTTTGTTGATTAAGCATTTGGAATAAACCTTCTATGCTATCTTATACTGAGGACCTAAAAGGGAACTTTCAGTTATATTTCTTTAATTTTTAACACAGGTTCCTTGAAATAATATAAACTCTTACTACTAACTTTAAAATTGAATAAAGCATAGATGAAATTATGATTAACGCATAGATCAAAATGATGAAAAAATTCAATATATGGTCAGCTACATCACTATGATCACAAATTTTCCAAATGCAAGAGTATGAAACAACAGAATGAATAGCTCAAGTATGTTTTATTTCTTTCATTAACAAAAAGAAAATTAACAAGCAAAACCTTTTCATATTGCCACACCATTCTGAAAATATGAAAGAATATATAATCCCCCCTCTGCAAACTAGCCCCCAAATTTAAATATTCTTAGATTATGAACAGCAGTACAAGTCTAAACCTTGTTCCTGACTCTTAACAAGGAGCATCACACAAAAAATGGCAAACATTCTTGAAGGATATGAGGGAATAAAAACTCCTGTAAGCTACTAGTTTGGACAGGACATGCCTGATAAAACTCTTGGTTTCAGTTAGAGAAAATTTGAATGTAAAATGATTTAGTATTGCTCAGTTGTACTCTCAGTGCTGTCACAAATGAATTGATGTATTGTCATCTGAATCATGAGTCATTTCTTCCACTATAAGAAAAAATAAGTTTATTTTAAATTAAAATAAGTTTATTTAAAACAACCATAACTGTTTGTATATGGTTAAATTAAAATTCTAACTAAATTTACTCACCTTCATGGGTCATACTAATGAAATATACAAAAGTTCTATTCTTTCTTCACTTCTTGCTCAAATTCTAAAAGGATTTATGGTAATTAATGTGACTAGGTTCAATAAATGGCAATTTTCTTCAGGAAAAAGGAAGTTAATTCTGCTTAATGGAAGGTTAAGTATACAAGTAGTCCATGACTTACGAGCAATTATTAACAAACATTCACAATCATGATGACCCTGGAACGGGTACTTTATAGCCCATAAAGCACTTCCGGCTGCGGTAAACTATTGTGCCAAGGCCTCCCTGGTCATATGACTACATTTCACACAGTTTGTATTTACAACCAGCTACCATTGGCAATGTTCTTAGCTGGCTTCCCAGGTTGCAAGTGGAGGAAACATTGGATTTGAGGTTCATTTCCCCAGCATGCTAAGGTATCTCCCCTCCCCGATGTTTAGTGACAGAAAATCCTGCAAGTTAAAGAAACAGACCTGAAATATCGTGCAAACACTAGCATCCAGGGAGATTCTTAGTCATCCAGGTCATGGTTGTCCTAAAGGTGGTTTTTCAAGAGGCAACTGGACTTTGTTTTTATTTGAAGAGAAAAAACAAAATCCAGTTGCCTCTTGAAAAAGCAACTTTGGGACAAACACCCCCAGTTTTGTGATTTTTCTCGTTGGTGGGTAGGGTGTTAGGCCCTATCTTTATGATCTGTTTAATGACCTCAACTGAAAGAGCTGGGGTGTTGGTTGTTGAGCAAAGCAGGCACACACTGCAGCTCATGTTGAAAGCATTGACAGAGCCTACCTAGGGCCCTCTCCTTGCTTGGCCCAGCCTTTCTGTTGCAAAGCTTTGGAAGCGATGAGCAGATTCCAACCTGAGCTGCAGAGCATGTCCTACTCCTCCAGGTTGTTCTCACCACTCTGTAGGCTGACAAGACTAAGGTGCCACATCCTGTCAGCTGGTCCTGTTGCATTCTCCAGTTTCTGGGCTGGCAGTGGAAAGACAAGGCTCCACCAACCATGCCATTCTGCTTCTTCTGACACTTCTATCCTGCTGCCTATCCCCTGGCCAGGCCTGTTGAACTCCTTCCACAGAGGAGGCTCTGTCACCCTGCCATGTGTATTCAGGGGCTGCACCCTTGCCAGCACCAGGATCCTGGGCCAACAATGGGAGGAGGAAGACAGCAAAAGTAGCTAGAAGTGTGGTGGTAGCAGAGGGAATAGGCAAAGGTGGGTACTGTGTAGGATAGTAAAAAGGGTAGAGATGGACGAGACAGAGGGAGGGGAGTTGAAAAACAGGCAGTTCATGTAGGAAAATATGCTGCATTATTTATAAATGTGGGCAGGGTGCCAAGCAATCACATTTTGATCACATGACCGCAAGAATGCTGCAACAGCCAGAACTTTTGAGGATTGGTCATAAGTTCCATTCATTCAGTCATATACAGTATTTCATCCAAAATACATAAAAGGTAGCCCTTTACAACTACAATTGGGATCAGAATTTTGTGGTGGTAAGTTGAGGCATCCATGTAACTAGACTCGATTATACTATTGTTTTTACAGCGGTTATTAGCAAATCACACAGTCGTAAATCTGAATCTATTCTCCTGAATGGGCACTTTTTTTTGCCAGAAACCGATTGCACATTGCAAGCAGTCATAAATGTGAACCAATTGCTAAGCACCCAAATCATTAAACAACCAATCCTAAGTCGAGGATTGTACTAAAGTACTGAATACTTTAGTTCTTCAAATAGTAATAGAGTTGTATCTGGAATCCACTCAGGGAGTTGAGTTGTACACTGAATCCATCTAGAGCACCAGTAATCAAAGACTGCAAACTTTAATATTCCAAAATTTACAACTGTAATTGTATGCAGTTATGGTCATGTTATAAAGCAGGTCATCATGTGATCGACTGAATAATGACCTTTTTTCTAGTGATTGTTCAGCAAACACCACAGGGGAACCGCAAACAGACATAAAAGCATCCAATTGCCAAAAATGTAGTTACATGACCATGGGGGCAGGTGTGTGTGTGGCATAACAACTTCAGAGATGAGTCATAAATAACGTTGGGGGTAGGTGTATATTATAACTTCAAATAAGCAAATTGCTAAGCAAATGGTTGCAAATTCAGGACTACACATATACTTTTTGCAACTACATTTCTCAATGTAAGATCAGTCACACAGGTATTTTTGGCAATAATAATTTACCATTACTGATTGGAAAACTTAATTCACTTAGGAGGAAATCCAATAAGCTTTCAAGAAACCAGAGAAGTCATTAAAAATAATTTGGAGGATATTCAGTTAATATAGGATACCAGGAAAAGTGGGACTGGTAATAAACAGCAAACTCCTTTTTAGTTTTCAGCCTTTTTTCATCCTTGCTTCTTTGAAATTTCAGATGCTGGTAAAAGAGCAGACTACTTTTGCTACACAAACTGATACTAAGGATACTATCAGTGAGCCTAGAGCAGGGGTGTCAAACTTGCGTCGTCACGGTGCTGTCAAGTGATGTATTGGGAGTTCCCCCCCTTCACTAAACTGGGCGTGGGCAGCACGTGACACATCCAATCCATGAGCTGCGAGTTTGACAGCCCTGGCCTAGAGAATTCATATAACTACCATTAATAATAGCCATTTTTTGTCAGAGTAAATAATCTTTATACCCCAGATATTTTAATACTATAATCTCCATAGTCCTTTGGCTGGGATAGAGATAACTGAAATCCAAATATCTGTCGAAAATCCTTATCTAACAGCCTCTTGAAATCTGTCTAGCCATCCAATTTCTTGATCATTGGTACATCACAACCATTTTAATCTACATTGCAACAGCATAAACTGGCATCTCTACAAATTAACCATAATTAAATTCCATCAGTATGCATATAGGGCTTTATATAATACTGATCCCTGTCCTGAGAACTGAAAATTCAAACATGGGAGAAGCAGGAGAGCAAATTAAAAACTAAAGCAAGCAATGCACAACTGTTAAATTGCACACATAGGTTCAATTACATATAAAATAATTTCAGGTACTTTCAACTTTGATATTTAAAAAATGCCCTTGGCAGTACCACAAAATGACTGGCATAGGAATGAGTTGGGAAACAATCACAAAACAGAAAAAGCACTGAAATTTGTGTACAAGATTCAAATGCAAATTTGAGTTGCCTTAGTTACTGATTTGATGTTTCTCCTTCTCACTGTCACAAACTTCACAATTTGTCCTTCCAATTTCTCATAGTTATAGGAAAACAGCTGAATTACGGCTTGTCATTTTGCAATCATCACAAAACCTCTTGAGATTGTCAAGAAACTTTTGTAAGATCCTGCAGTAGCTATTTCATAGCTAGAAAGGGCATTCTGCAGACACTGCCCTGTAGATCACGATAGAGCAGGAAGTGCATTTTCTTGTAGCCATAGATTTGACTTTTTTTTTTGTCTTCAAGAAAAAATATATTAATTTCCCACAAATGGGAAGTAGCCTAATTTACGATGAAATGACTTTAAGGGTTGGTACCGGCAATAGCCCTTAAACCACCACCAATTCCATGGAAATTTGCGGGCCATCTATCTAGGATAGCAAAAGGAATGCTATAGAGCAGCATGCATCCTGCAAGCCACTGGCTGCCAACTACTAGGAAAAAGGAGATACTTTGAAAAGAATTTTAACAATAAATAATTGTATGCAGATTTGGGGAGGCTATTTCAAATATACAGAATAGCTGGGGCAGAGATTTTTGGAGGAAAACCAGATCTATTTGCAACATTATAAAGACAAAAGTGGGGCTGAACATTCTTTTTGTGAAATTGGTAATATTTCTACTCAGCTGAGAACTGTTACAACTTAAAACATGTAGAGTATAAACACATCTTATTTCTATTCTCATAAATTCTGGAAAATGATGAATGATTTACTTGTATATTTGGCCAAGTAGGAAAAATACACTTGAAAAAGAATTGTGAGTAAATAGATTGAATAAAATAGTACACATGGTAAAAGGCACAGAGCAGTACATATATAAAATGTGTAGTACAAATTCACATTCATCTTATTTTTTAACCTACCTTCCATTGCCAAGATAGTTGCTGGCATAGAGTGCAAATCTGTTTTATTATTGGACATTGTCTAAGAGGAAAAAGAAAAATAATTTCTAAAAGAACTCACAAAACAGAACAATACTCAATGAGTACCCTATGTTTATTGTTGGGTAGCATACTAACATTCATTGCTTTTAAATTGTTACTTCCTCTGTATGTAATAAGTCCAAAAACACTCCATATTGCATCTTGTTAGGCTTCTGTTCTAGTACTGAAATATTAGCCATCCTTATTAGAAAATGGCATGAGTGGGAATAATTACAAAATAAATATTTAATCATTAATTTTATTTCAAGTGTGTCAGGACTGGGAGGGTATGGTGGCCTAGCGGTTAAGGTGCTGGGCTTATCAACTGGAACGCCCGCAGTTCAAGACCCAAGTACCACGTGACGAGGTGAACTCCTGGTCCTGCTCCAGCTCCTGCCAACCTAGGCAGTCAAAAGCATACAATTGCAAATAGATAAATAGGTATCACTTCAGTGGGAAGGTACCATGTTCCATGTGCCTTGGCATATAGTCATTATGGCCAAATGACTACAGATGGGCCCCCTCAGGTAAGAAACAGAGATGAGCACTGCCCATTAGAGTCAAATACGATTAGACAGGGGAAACCCTTACTTTATTGGGACTGAAATGCATCACAAAAAATGGAAAAGTTTAATTCTTTGCATCTTAGTACCAATTCCTAACAAAATTATTTGCTTCCAATGTCTGCACACTATGGCAGCTAGTTGTTGAATCAAGTTCATATCAATGCCATCCCTACCCTTTTCTCCCACCTTAACAGCATAATTGGAGAAAGGTTCATCAGGAATTCAGCTGAGAGAGATTTACAGTAGGTCTTATTTCCTTGCATAGCACAGTCACAATGTTAAGCTATGTAGTTAAGCTACTTGTATGGGCTGCTTAAAGACATAACCATAATGAAACCACTTTTGGGGGGAAAAGAGGCCTACCAGAAGCCCTGTTATTACAATATGCTTTATTAAGGAAGATTTATTTTTTAAAAATATACAACCTGGCTACCAATATCAGAATCTCTGTTAGACCTTACTACTTTAAAAATATGTGAGTGATGAAGCAGCAGCAAGAATAAGCATGTGTTCTTACATAAATTAAGGTAATTCTGCATAGGATTTTATTAAAAAGACATCTTCGTTCAATATTTTTCTAATTTCTTTATAGGAGCCATTTCAGTTTTTTGTTTGCTAACTAGGCTTATTCTTAAAACACTTGTTTGCATGGAAAGTTTTTAAAACAGTTCTCATGGCTAATAGGAGGAGTCATAATGAAATTATCATGATAATTTTCTATTGATTATCTGTATTAAACATACACATATGTAATGACAGAAAAGAATAACTGTAACTCAGGGTTAGGGTTAGGTCTAAGAATTTCATTGGTTAGTCATACACATATCATAATTCTTAAATAAAGGCCAACAAGTGAGCTGTTACTTGCATTATCTCTCAGCCAATAAACCAGGGGTGGGATGCTACCGGTTCAGCCCAGTTCTATAGAACCGGTAGCTGCGAAGAGCAGCTGCACACCGAACTGGTTCGGTGTTTGGCCCAAGCTCTTCGCTGTCCTTTATTCCCTGCTTTTCCCTCCTCAGCTGCTTTGTGCGGCACAGCGGAGGTTGAAAATGCAGAAAACAAGAGGATTTTCAAACGCTGCACACCCGCACGCAGCACTTGTCAGCTGTCCAGGGGGCACAGCTGATGATTTCTTGCAAACACCAGACATATGCGTGTTATGATTGTCCGCAGTTCGGAGAATCAGCAAATCGCTCCACTAGCTGGCCCCTCCCCTCCCCCTCCCTCCTTACCTGGCATGTGAGCCATCCAACTTGCCTGGTTTGGTAAGTTGCTATTTTTCCTTTTTTTCCCCCCGACCATCAGCTGTTCTGCTCTGCCCGGCGATTTAGATTAGCTAGAAAGCAAGAAATCCTTGGATTTCTTGCTTTCTAGCTAATCTAAAAGCAGAACCGAACCTTCCTTAGGACTGAAGCTTCTACTTTTCAGTGCAGACTTAGGTAACCGATGGAAGATAGATCTCTAAGTGAATCTGTGATTCTGTGAGCAACTCAATCTGCCTGCCTGTCTTGCCTGATTTTGGGTAAAAGTTGCTCTTTTTTAAAATAAAAAATTCAATATTTACATACATGGTGTGTTGTGAGTTAATTTTGTGAGTTTGCTTGCAAGCAAATTTTATGAGTTTGCTTGCAAGCAAATTTTATG